TAAATAACATATATATATATATATATCAAATTAAAATAAAATATCAATACAATTTAAAACATGATTTCCTTCAAATAATAATTATAACAAAATATCATAATTAATAATATTATACAAAATAATTTTTATAAATGATTATTATTAAAAACCTTTAAAAATTCAATCAAACCCATTTAATTAATTAAAATAATTATAAGGAAATAATCTTCATAAGTACAAAAAGAAATAATAATTATTCGTAGTATTAGTAGAAAAATTCGGGGTGTTACACATCTACCTTCAAGAATGAAACCAATTTAAACTCGTAAAAATCTCAAATACATCCTCACAGAAATCATAAGTAATCAAGTTCATTGGCAAGTAAGTAAAAAGAGTAGTAGTAAACGAATTGTAATTCAATGATAATAAAATGATAAATAAGTAATATAATTCCTTAATTACTCCAATCCCCAGTGTCACATTGGCATCAGAATTCCCCACACACCTAGACCTCTCCCTGCTGCTCCTCCTAAGATTGAGGATCCTTGTCTACAAAACATACAAAAGACACACCAACGACAAACAGGGAGTGAGAACAATCTCACTCTAGAGGGAATGGGCCGCAACCCTTGACATCACATCCCTTCACGATAAACAAATATAATAATAATTAATAATTTGAAATATTATAATAATAACAACTCATACTTCAAACTATAGTAATCACAATTCATACTCCAAACTATAATAATCATAATAACACATTCAACTTTAATTATAGATAACATCAATTCCATTCATCAACACACACATAGAAATGTAATGCGATGTGCACCTACATCTAAATGCATGAGGTACCCCGCCATCATCATCGAGAATATACAGTGGTACCTAAGTCTTGAGTTAACCTCAGGCTACAAACACATAAGTGTTCCCACTAGAACACCAACAGGTTCACACCAGAACCATAGAAATAGGTTCCCACCAGAACCACCAAATTATGCAAATATGATATATGTCACAACCATGCAAATGCTTCTATATAACTTCATTGTGATCATCATATCACCCATCATTCATAAACATCTATACTCATTCACATCAACTATCATCCGTCAATGTTTTTATATAAATACATCGTGGTCATCATATCATCCATCATTCATAAACATCTATACTTATTCACGTCAATTATCATCTATCAAGATAGAAAATCATCATTCATCAGGCATAAATGCATATATACATATTCATCACTACATAATCAATTGTTAACATCATCATATCATCATTCAAAACATCATAAAGGAGTCTCCTGAAAATCTAAGCCGAGCTTGGGAACCCATGCCCGACTTAAAAATAACAAGTCTGGCTTAATTCAAGCCCGACTTAAAAATAAAGCCTGACTTTAAGCCAAGACAGAGAGCAACAGATTCGTCTTGCGCCTGACATGGACATTTTCATGCCTGGCACCAGCACGTTTGGGCAAAGCCTTCTTACACATGAAGGCATGCTCGGCTTTGAGCACTCAAGCCCAATGCCGCATGCAATCCAACACCCAATCACCAACATTAAAATTGCTAGATCTTGAAATAAATGTTTCCACAATCAATCATACAAATTATAATCTCTCAAAACTCATTTTACATCCAGAAATTCACCAATTTTATCATTCACAACTTTTACCCCTTAAATTTATCAAATTACTCCCTTAAGGTTCTAACCTATTTCTATAGAGTACTCAATTAATTACTCTAAAATTATCTAATCATCAAATAGATTACATATTTAGGATCTACTCAATAAATCACATCAAATGCACATAGCATCTCATCAAACAAAAAACTTATGGGACTAGGGCCAAATCTCTCTACCCTTCATGCATACACTCAATCCCCAGAAATGAGTGTTCTCACTCCCCTCTTACCTGGAGTGATGCAACGTACGGGTCTTGTACCAACCTGGCTAAGCCAATGAGCTTGACCTGACCAAGTTGCCAAGCTCGGCCAAGGAACATAGACATCAGAATGTTACATCAGCTTATAAAAGCCACGTCATCCACCAACCGCCACTGAAAAGATAAAGATATGATCTTAGCACCGTGCCACAATAATCGTGTAACCGATAGACAATGGTAACCCTAAATCCACCTAGGTACGTGCATTATATATATGTGAGACATCTACACTATCAAGGACTAACTTAAGCATCAGAGTCTCTTATGCATGTATCACCTCCACCTTGGAACACCCACCTGTAGGAGCAAAGGAGATCCACCAATTGCACCAAAGAGATCGTCATCAGATCAACTTCAGGTGAGAATAGGTCTAATCTTCTTCCTCTTCTTTGGTGATCCATTCTCCTTGTTCTCAAGCTGTGTTCTCTTCAAAGTACCTGAGCGTCAAAGAACGTGAAATGAAATAAATGAATAATAACATCCCATTTTCTTCCTTCTCTTCTAATATATAACTCATATTTCTCTAAACCCCATCTTATCTTCATTATTTCTAATACTCCCCTGAATAATTAAATTTATTAAAATGGATAAAATAAAAATTATTAATCACAAAATAAAATTAAAATTATTATTATCTTCCTAATTAATAATTACTAATTATTAGAAAAATATTTGGTGTTACAGATTTTTTGACGCATTTTCATGTCCGATGTTATACACATGACATAGAAAGTGGTACAATGACATACTAATAAATATTTCAAAACATTCTATGACAGGTGTTGGCTTACCTGTCATCAAATTTTTTTTATGATAGGTAAACCAAAACTCGTTATAGAATGTATTGGTCAATCTT